CAAGAGCAGGAGGTGGTGTTTCTCCTCCACTTGTCTGGCAGTTCTGACATCCATTGCGCTGTGTCACTGAGGCTGTTGTTCTGACAGCAGGGCCCCACTGTGTGGTTTCCTCCAGGGAGTTAGTGCTTTGTCTAAGCGAGGGGTGAGAGCTGAGGAAGGAGACAGCCCTCAGGAGAGCCTGGCGGTCATATGCGCCCTTGGTCTTAATGTGTGGGAGTAGGTCCACAGCCTGACTCAGCCCTGGCCTCAACCTCCACTTCTTTTAGTTCATGTGGCACAATATGGCAAGTGAAACTTCATTTCAGGGGAAGGAGCAGAGCTTGTCTCTGCTATCGCTATCCTTTGTCCAGATCCTAATGAAGCTCACAAGTGAGTCTGCCCCATGCAGAGCTGCTCCCTTGATACATATTTGCTTTAAATCAAGGTAACTGTAAGGCTCTTGTTTGCCCTGCAGGAGCTGTACCCCGTGGTCACTGGAGGAGTACCTGAGACGACAGAGCTGCTGAAGCAGAGATTCGATCACATCCTTTATACTGGCAATTCCACAGTGGGCAAAATCGTGATGGCAGCGGCGGCCAAGCACCTGACGCCCGTCACCCTGGAGCTGGGCGGGAAGAGCCCCTGCTACATCGACAAGGACTGTGACCTGGCCGTCGCCTGCAGGTCAGGCTGTTGCAAGCCCTCGGTGGGCCATTGTCCCCAGGCTGCGGGTGTCGCTCAGGCGTTGTTGGCTGGGCTGTGGGGGCTGGAAGGGACTGACCGTGGAGAAACCATCTCCCTTTCTCCCGCAGGCGGATAACGTGGGGAAAGTACATGAACTGTGGGCAAACCTGCATCGCCCCGGACTACATCCTCTGTGACCCTTCCATCCAGAGCAAAGTGGTGGAGAACATCAAGGCGACTCTGCAGGTGAGCGTGGAGTTCCCCGTGCTGTGGGAGTTGTCCCCGTTACAGCCCAGGTGTGAGTTTTGTAGCTGCAGCCCTGGAGCTGTGGTTGTTGTGAAGGTTTGTTGAGCGCTTTGGTTCTGCTGTGCCCTTCGGCAGGAATTCTATGGGGAAGACGTGAAGTCATCTCCGGATTATGAAAGGATTATCAACAAGCGTCACTTCAAGAGAATCCTGGGCCTGCTGGACGGGCAGAAGATCGCTCACGGGGGAGAGGCTGATGAGGCTTCCTGCTTCATAGGTGCTTCTGGCAGCTGTTGGGGAGGGGAGGTGGTAGCAGGTGCCTTTTGGGGGCTGTGTATGTGCCTGGTTTGCTCGGTGTGTGTTGAACGGAGGCAGTGCTCCGGCTGAGGTCCTGTGATTGACCACGTCTTCTGTCCTGCTCACTCCGTCTCCTGCCCTCCTGTTTGCCGCAGCACCGACTATCCTCACCGATGTTTCTCCGGAGTCAAAGGTGATGGAGGAGGAAATCTTTGGACCGGTCCTCCCCATTCTGACCGTGAAGAACGTGGACGAAGCCATTGAGTTCATCAACCGTCGGGAGAAGCCCCTTGCCCTGTACGTCTTCTCCAACAACAAGAAGGTGGGTCTGGGCTGTGCTCCCCCACGGAGGCATCTCTGC